TCAACTCCCAGAATTTCCCAGCCAGCCATGCTGGCTGAGGAATTCTGGGAGTTGAAGTCCACTCATCTTGAAGTGGCCAAGTTTGGACAACACTGGACTAGATCATCCAAATCCTTCCAATCCAATTCTATGAGCTATACTGAGAGAGGGAAGCATCTAGCCAACCTTGTCTGGACATAGAAACTAAACTGGACTAGGGTTGGGGCTAACTGGCACTGTTAGGTAGGTTTACAAATTTATATACATACATACGTGTGTGTGTGTGTGTGTGTGTGTCCGTCCATCCATCCATCCATCCATCCATCCATCCATCCATCCATCCATCCATCCATCCATCCTAGGGGTGCGGGCTAGACTGGAAAATTGAAAAACATCACAGGTAGAGGCAATGACACACCACTTCTGCCCCTTGTCAAGAACAATGCATGGTTGTGTCCCTGGAGTCACCAAGAACTGAGGGGTGTTCTTGGAGTCACCAAAACCTGAGGGCTGTACACCAGTGTTTTTCAACCTTAACAACTTTAAGCATGCTGGGTGGGGAGTTGAAGTCCACACATCTTAAAGTTGCCAAGGCTGAGAAACATTGCTGTAGACCAACTAGCTGACCGCTGGTGCTCAGACTCACCTCGGACTCCAGATGGGCTGGTGTTTCCGACTGCCTGGAAGCCTGGAGAACCTTCAGGACCGCCTGCCAGCCAAGGTCTGCCTTCCCCTCCAGGCGGTCCCCTCCAGCCCCCAGGGCCACTGCCTCCTTCACCTCGTTGACCCAAGGACACCAGTCACGGTGCTGGGCCAGGGGGTCAAAAAAAGCCCTGGCAGATGAATCCTGTTAGGGGAGAAAAAGAGCCTGTGTTCACACAACAAAATTAACCTGGCTAATGAATTAACTCACCTTTACCTAAGGTAGGTAGATTCAGATATCCTATCAAAGCTCCAAAAATGACCCTTAACATGGACAACTGGGTCTTGGACTGACCTGACCAAGCCTGTGATTTAAGGCAGTGTTCCTCAACCTCGGTCACTTGAAGATGTGTGGACTTCAACTCCCAGAATTCCCCAGCCAGCATGGCTGGCTGGGAAATTCAGGGAGTTGAAGTCCACACATCTTCAAGTGACCGAGGTTGAGGAACACTGCCTTAAATCACAGGCTTGGTCAGGTCAGTCCAAGACCCCGTTGTCCATGTTAAGGGTCATTTTTGGAGCTTTGATAGGATATGGGAGTTGAAGTCCACACATCTTCAAGTGACCGAGGTTGAGGAACACTGCCTTAAATCACAGGCTTGGTCAGGTCAGTCCAAGACCCCGTTGTCCATGTTAAGGGTCATTTTTGGAGCTTTGATAGGATATCAATTCCCAGAATTCCCCAGCCAGCATGGCTGGCTGGGAAATTCAGGGAGTTGAAGTCCACACATCTTCAAGTGGCCGAGGTTGAGGAACACTGATTTAAGATGTACTGGAGAAAAATGGGAGAAGATGAATGAGAATATATCTATCTAGCCTTCCCTAAATTGGCATCCAATCTTGTTGAATTGGGACTTCAACTCCCAATTGGCTGGGGATTCTGGGGGCTGAAGTCCAAACCCTTCTGGAGGCATCTGATGGGAAAAGCCTGATTGAGCTACTGGCCAGTTGGAGCCATTTGGGTGAGAGAGAAAACACACTCTCTCTTTCCATCTTGATTGCTGCCACATACCCCAAAAAAGCAAAGTGAAATGCAAACGTTCTGTCCAGCATGAAAAACTCTGTCACCCTTATCAAGATCAATTTGGCTGTCTCAGCATGTTTCAAGAAAGTCTATCTGCCTTCCTCTTAACACCAATTTATTTTTTATTTCCGTTTTGGCAATGTTGCTGGGGAGCTTGCAATTCTGTGGCATTTTTGTTACGCCTTTTAAAAATTCAGCATTTCAGGAAAGCCTGCAATAATATTGGCTTGAAAGTCTGTTTTCCTCTATGTACTGTACCTGCAAGGAAAATGACCCCAATGGAAAACAAATTATAGGTGCAGACAAAAGTCCTGGGCAGGGCCCACTTTGTTAATTTTGGATTGCCAATTTCAGTGAAAGCCAACTCCCAATAAATATATTCACATGACACTTTTCTGCCTATATATCTAACTTTAAGTTGTGTGGACTTCAACTCCCAGAATTCTCCATGCTGGCTGGGGAATTCTGGGAATTGAAGTCCACACATCTTAAAGCTGCTTGAGGTTGAGAAACACTGATCTATACCTTCCAGAGCCACATCCCCTCAAACATGGGTGGAATCAGGACAAAAAAAAAGTAATTGAATTAATTACTGATTAATGTCAGTAATACATTTGCTACATTTATAAAATTAAGCTATCATCTACATATTCACCATTCTCTCATCTCCTTGACCAGCTCTTAGACAGAAGCATATAGCTACGTACAAACACTTTTTCTTTTCAGCAGACACAAGAAACAAAAGAAAAGGTTGGGGGGAAGGAAAAAGAAGGGGGAACTGAAGATGAGGCAAAGGGAAGTGGCATCTACCAGGAAAAAAAAAGGTTAAACTCATCAGGGAAGCAGCCCTCCCTCCTATTTTCATCTTCAGCCCCTTTCTTTGCACTAAAAATATATTCTGCAATGATCCCTTCCCCACCCAAATCTTAAGTATTAGCTTGGCTAGAGAAAAGGGCTGGAGAAGTACGTTCATACACGGGGAAGGAGGCGAGGGGTTCTCCTCCTTGAGCAATCCGCTCAGCTTCCTTGCAAGAGCGCAGGTAGAGTGCGCGGTTGTCGTCTGCTCTCCCACCTGCCTGCAGCTCTTGACTACCCTTTGACTAGTAAGCTGCTGTTTCGACATGAAGCTCTCTCAGGTGCGCTAGGATGGCCTTGCAACTTAGGCCTCAGAGGTCTGCTTGCAACCATTGCATCAGTCACTTACATATATCCATCCATCCATCTATACGTATCACATGGTTCCCTTTTGGGATAAGCCACATTATGCAGAGCATGGAAAAGGAGTAAGGAATAATAAGCAAAAGAAATTAAGATGTGAGACAAGAAGAAAAGGCAATACAACTCAATCTAATTTACACTAACACCATTCACCAGGCCTTTCCATTCTTCCAAACCCACCTTGCTTCCAGAAAGTAATTAATTCCTTTCTGTTCTTTAACTTCATGGCTCTCTTTTTGAGGATCTCATCAGCACCATCCAACGGAGACCTTCCCCATCTTCCTTGGCCTCTCCACTCATTCACTCCTCCTTTGTCCATTTGCTCTACAATTCAATCCTCATGAATTCTCTTTATGTAACCAAGCCACATGAACATATATCAGCAGCTGGAGGGAGGGAGGGAGGGAGGGAAGGAAGGAAGGAAGGAAGGAAGGAAGGAAGGAAGGTAGGTGCAGAGGAGTAGACACGCTAGTAGAATATGCCACATTGGGGCACTGGCAACAGCAGTGACTGAAAGGAGAGAGAGAAGGGGTTGGAAAGAGGGGGTGAGGGGATGGGAGTGTCCCACTGGGAGTTGCTGAGTGGAGGTAGTAATGAGGGAGCCTTGCCTTACTCACCCTATGAAATCACTCAGGGACCCTCCAAATTATGTGATATCTAAAGTTTGGAATAACCAAAGCATTCCAGGTCTCATTTCTACTGAATCATAGCTGATTCATGTCAGTCCAACATTGTGAGGGTTTGTTCTGGGTTTGCAACAAAACATGTACACCTCTATTCTTGACCTGATATCTTCTTATCATAGAGTTGGAAAGGACCTCAGAGGCCACTTCGTTCAACCCCCTGCTCAGGGCAGGATCTGCTAAAGCATTTCAGATAGATGGCTATCTAGCTTCTGCTTGAAGACTTCTAGTGAAGGAGAACAGGCAGCCTCTTCCACTGGCTCTTAGCCTCAGATCATTCCTTCTACCTGGAACCTACTTCCATGCAGTTCGAGCCATTGGGTGTGGTCCTGCTCTTGGGGGCCACAGAACAAAGATCTACTCCCTCTCTATTTGAAACCCTCTAGCTACCTAAAGACTCCCATCATCTCTCTCCTCTGTCTTCTCTTCTGCAGACTAAACACCTCCTTTCACTTTTCTTCATAGAACTTGGATTCTTCACCATCTTGGTAGACCTCCTCTGAATGTGCTCCAGTTTGCTGATATCCTGTTTAAACTGTTGTGCCCAGAACTGGACACAGGACTCCAAATGGGATCTGACCAGGCAAAGTAGAGTGGGGAAACAGATTTCCGCCATCTGGACTCTTATGCTCTATGTTCTTGTTAATACATCCCCAAATAGCATTTGTCTTTTTAGTGGCTGAATCACCCTGGTGGCTCACCTTGATCACCCAGATCATCCTACTGTGATCTACTAGATCAGGAATCTGGTAGCATCTGTTTTGATTAACAAATCGCTCATTCTTTGGTTATGTTCCTCTCTATCCATTTCCTCTAATGATTCCATTTTCTTTTTTCAATGTTTTAGAAAGCTCTCTGGATATCCACACTGGTCACTTTAGACATTTCCCATTTTTCCTTCCAGTAGGATTTGTGATTTTTTACCAACACACTTCTTAGCTACCCCATTCTCACAGCTTCCTTCTTCCTTTCCTGCTTCTTTTGACACACCTGAACCCTCATCTCCAGATAAGAAAGTGAGCAGAATACACTTTTGTAACACAGCTATGTCCTCTTCTTTCTTCGTACTAGACTTGTCAGCCGTTTGAGGTAGGCTGGGTCAGGAAACAGACCCTGCAAGGACTATTAGAACTGTTGTAGGGTATAACAACAGAACCTTGAAAGCTGCCAAAGAGAATCAAGGTGAGGCTCTCTTGAGTCTCTTCCTTACTGCTTACCAGAGCTGAGATTCTGCTTACAAATCTTTATTAACAGCTTTTGTATTCCTTCATTCCTCTGCCTCCCTCAACCATGTACCTTCCTATCAGCTGTTGCACATCTCAAGATTTCTCCAGCTAGTTTCTCATCTTTAGTGAACACCCTGCCAAGGCACACAAGTGCATCTCTTTGCTCTCATTTTGTGTCCCTTATGTATAACCTGCAATGACAATTCATTCCATTTTTCTCCCTGACATAACTACCTTGATATTTGACAGTACAGTATGTTGTCCCTTGGACAATGGCTGTTTCTATAGAATGTTGTTTCTTTAAGTTGTGAAGCCACACAGAATCATTTTGGAGTTGGAGGCCTAGAAGCTCACTCCGCTATTGCATCATACAATCTGTTTAATGTTCAATGCCAATGATTCAGAAACTTAGCGAACAACACAGCATCATCTATCTACTAAAGTATATACCCATTCATATCCCCAACCCACACACCTCTAACATCACTATAAACATTCCTTATCCATTTGTCCTTAAACACATTAAACAAGTGAGGGAATATCACGCATCCTTCTCTTACTCCCTGCTCAACACTGAACCATCTGCTAAGCATTCCATTCACTCTCACACATGCTTTACTTCCACCATATTCAACAACTAACCTTTAACTGCACATTTGCACAAAGCTCATCCTCATTCTTTTCAGCATTCTCTTATATGAATTTTTTCCCCCATACATACACAGTATTTTTCATTCCATCAAGCTTCCCATTAGCGTAACTTCACACACCCTTTTATGGCCCTCTGTAAGATAATTCTTTTCTGTTTCAAGCAGTTTCCACATCCTCTTTCCTTACATCTTCCCATTCATTCTTACGGTATTGCTTTTTCTGTAACCCTTCTATTTTTACTTTACTTTCTTTCAGTTCTTTTTTTTAAAATAGTATTGTTATTAAAAGTTTTAACTACAACAATAAAAGATAATAAAACTAAAAAGAGAAAGAGAAGGAGGAAAAAGAGAATAAAAAGTGCAAGAAAGCAAAAAAGGAAGAAAAACTAGAAAGAGAAAAGAAAAGAAACCTAAGAAAGAGACTTCCCACCCCCATCACAACAAGTACAAACAATTTATCTCTTCACCTCCTCTTAGTTAACAAATATAAAGCTCTTCATCCCATAACCCAACTCTTAACTATAGGCAAGTCCAATAAACAATGTCTTTTCCTATCCAGGTGTCAGCAAAAAGTCCAAACAGAGCCCTAGAATAATCACATTTGTTAATAAATATAAAACTCATCAATCCATATCTCAACTCTTAACTGTAGGCAAATTCAATGACAGTGTCTTTTCCAATCCAGATGTATGTTAGTCCAAAAAGAACCGCCCAAAATAACAACATATCCCATTTTAACCCTGAACAAATAAGCCAAATTTATGTTCCTTCTTTTTACATAAAACAATCTTGCTCTTTAATCCATTCGAATGATCATCATCCCTTGTCTCGAATTTCTTCAAAACTTTAACAATCCTCTTTTGTAAGTCCAGCAGGAAGAAATTATTCCAATTCCTCTCTTGAATTGGCATTTTTGTTTCCTGATGACAACATAAGCTGGAGCTTACAAGAATTCAAAGAAACAGAGGCTCCTTGCAACATTAAGCTTGTAAGATCCCCTGGAAGTGACTGAAGTGACCACCATTATTTCTCCTCCATTGCAAATGGTCATGACCAGATGAGCTGATAGATACAGGCCTCTGCTGCTCCTCAAAGCTTCGGTCAATCAAGGGCTTTTAGGAAGACAGAAAATTGTGGACTAGGATACCAGCCTTAGTGACATCTGTGCCATGTGCAACATTCCCTGATAGTGGTAAGGATAGTCTTTTTGGTCATTGGACTATCAGTGGTAAGGATAGTCACTTTTGGCCATTGGACATGGACCACAAGTGCAACCACAGCCCAGTTTTACCCAAGCATGCTCATGCTCTTCTGTGCAAACTAGGATCTCCAGTCTAAGGACTGCCTTGCAAGCCAACAGATTGTGGCCTGCATCCCACCAATTAGAACATCCATGCAGTGGGAATGTATTGTCCTTGCCCGTGAATAGTAATAGAATCAGGAATTCCCAATATGCATTCAGGCAGAAAGATTGCCCTCTTTCCATCCTACAGGCTCAGCTGTTCTGCTCAAGCATTCAGGAAAGCACCCCATCATTTTAAAATAAAAAATAGTACTGTACGGCTGCCTTTCCATTGTAAAGCACTATTCACACACTGACACCCTTACCCATCCCAGATCAGTCAATCAACCAACCAACCAGTCAAAAGTGTACAAGAGGTAACCTCTGAAATTTCTATATGGTTCTTTTCCTGGCTGGGGAATTCTGGGAGTTGGAGTCCACGCATCTCAAAGTTGCTGAGGTTGAGAAACGCTGCTCTACA